TGAGTCTCCAAGTTTCACGTCTCAGTCATATGACTCTGCCTCATGTCCCCAACTGTCCATTTCTGGAAATGTCTCCATGTCTCTGTATGTCGTGCCTCTAAGTCTGTGTTTGGTGTGTCCATGGTAGCTCTGTTGATCTGTCTCCATGTCTCTGTGCCTCTGTGAACCTGAGTCTGTCTGTCTTGTGTCTCCATGCCCTCCCCTTCCTATTTTCGGGGCTCTGGGCTTGTACCTCCCAGTCTTCAGGTCCCATGTCACCATTTCTCTGACTTGCATCTCTGTATGTCTGGGTTGCCCTCACCTGTCTACCCAGGCCTCCACCCTCACGCCCATGTGTCTCTTCTCTCCCTGCTCCAGTTTAACCCAGAGCTGGTGCTAGTCTCAGCAGGCTTTGATGCCGCATGGGGAGACCCGCTGGGGGGCTGCCACGTGTCACCTGAGGGCTATGCCCACCTCACCCACCTGCTGATGGGCCTTGCCAATGGCCGCATTATCCTCATCCTAGAGGTAACTCTCTCGGTCCCTCTTCCCCTGGTGAGAGGGTGGCTTGGATGACTTGAAGTCCTGCCCTTTCTGCTGGCTGGCTGTGATACTCGGGACAGTTTCCTAAAATCTGCTTTGAGTGTCCCCACCTGGAATTGTTGGCACATACTAGGCATTAGTCATACCTCTAGCTGCACAGCGTCGAGTGCTCAGTATGTGCGAAACACTCTTCTCAGCACTTTGTGTGTATTGCTAATTCACTTACTTGACAAAGCAGCCTGCAGAGGTAGTCTGCTCGTCATTTTCCTCTCTCCAGATCAGGGAAACTGAGGCACGGAGAGGCATAGTGCCCAGCCAGAGGTCGTACATTTAATAATGGCAGAGCCAGGGCTTGAACCCAAGCAGCCTGGCCCTGGCGTCGACGCTTTTTATCACTACTTAAACTGCCTCTAGCAAGCTCCAAGAGAAAATAAATTTACTGACCTTTTGTAAGTTACTCAGTGCCCCTGCCCCCCGTGCCTCAGTTTCTTCATCTGTAAGATGGGGCTGGATACTCATGGAAAAGTGCCTGGCATAGGGTGAGCAACGTATAAGTAGTTTCCCATCGGTGTGAGTCATCACACAGTAGCTTAACCCTCCTGGCAGCTTCATGTGCTGCTGTTTTCACTACTTTGCAGATAAGGACAGTCACTCACAGAGATTAATTGGCTGCTATAAAGTCCCGCAGTGTGCCCAGGACTGCTTGTGGCAGGCAAGGGAATGGCTAAGAACATGAACTCTTCCATCAGATAGCCCAGCTCCCACCACCAGTGTTGCCTCTAACCAGCTCTTAGGGCCTCCCCTGCATCATCTAGCCACCCTGAGCGTCAGTTTCTTTATCTGTAGAAAGAGCAGAGACTGGGGTTCCTGTAGAATGTGAGAGAAGGGGTTCCTATACAGATTGAGCACATGTGGTTATAAGGATTAAGTGAGTCGATACACATAAAGTGCTTAGAATAGGGTCTGGCACACAGCAAACACTTAATGAATCTCTGCTGTTACTAATGTTCCCTCAGTATTATTGTGGTAATTATTATCTTGTACTTTACATCATAATTTCTCTCCCTCAACAACCACCTCACGCAGTGGGTGCTGCCCCTCTGACAGTCGTGCAGGGCCCTGAAGGGGTGTTGGGCGACAGAACATCTTGCCTCCCAGATTCCATGAGGGCCCCCCATTATACCTTTTCCTCCCCTTTCTCCTAAAGGGTGGCTATAACCTGACATCCATCTCAGAGTCCATGGCTGCCTGCATCCGCTCCCTCCTTGGGGACCCACCACCACTGCTGACCTTGTCGCGGCCCCCACTATCAGGGGCCCTGGCCTCGATCACTGAGACCATCCGAGTCCATCGCAGATACTGGCGCAGCTTACGGGTCATGAGTGAGCAGGCCTGGGAAATTGGGGGCAGTGGGGGCCCAGGGGAGGGCAGGGATCAGAGACAGGGTAGGGATAGCACTCACACTCAAGGATCTCCCTCCCATTGTTCCAGAGGTGGAAGACAAGGAGGAACCCTCCCTTTCTAAGTCAGTCACCAAGAATGTGACCGAACCAGCCAACCCTGACTCAGCTAAGAGGATGACCACACCAGAAGGGAACATTCTGGATGCAGGCACATGGAAGGCTGTCTCGGCATCATCTGTGGAAGAGTCCACTCTAGGCCAAGCTAAGTCAGAGACTGCTATGGTGGAGCTCAGTCAGGACCAGTCCTCGGAGGCTCCCACACGGGAAGCCACGCTGGACCAGACCACCTCCGAGGCAGACACAGGAGGGGCCACGCTGGACCAGACCACCTCAGAGGAGACTGCTGGGGTAGTTGAGATAACCCAAACCCTTTCAGCCTTATGTACTGACAACCAGACTCTACCAGCCTCACCTGAGCAAGGGGCCGCATCCCAAATATCCCCCAATGAGCTGATTGAGAATCTCAGGACTTTGGAAATAAACTGCAAGGCTGAGGTAAGATGCATCACACCCAGGTAGGGGGAAGAAGGGGTAAGAATCTGGCCTCTCAGATGCATCTCTTGCCTCTGTACACCCAGGAGGCACCAGAATCTCAGATCCCAGAAGAGGAGAAGCTACTGGGAGAGGCAGCTGGAGGTCAGGACATAAATGATTCAGTGCTGATGCAGAGCTTTGAGGTCCGTGCTAACACTGACCAGGTGAGCTCGGACCAGGGAGGAGACTGTGGCATCCTTCTCTTGCCCATTTGCGCCTCCAGATAGGAGGAGTACGTCGTGCGGGAACCTGTAATAGGGAGATGGAGTCCCTAGCTTACTCAGTTTCACCCATTCCAGGCCGTCTTTTATGCCGTGACACCTCTGCCCTGGTGTCCCCATTTGGTGGCAGTATGTCCCATACCCGAATCCGGCCTGGACGTGACCCAACCTTGTCAGGACTGTGGAGCACTCCAGGAGAACTGGGTGTGTCTGTCCTGCTATCAGGTACGCAGTGGAGGAGTAAGGGGATGGGATGGAGGTTGGCCCAGGAACAAACTGAAGGTGGGTGCTGATCCCCGCCCGATACTCACTCCCCAACCCCAGGTCTACTGCGGTCGTTACATCAGTGCCCATATGCTGCAACACCACGAAGGGTCAGGACACCCGCTGGTCCTTAGCTACGTTGATCTGTCTACCTGGTGTTATAACTGTGAGGCCTATGTCCACCACCAGGTGGGTCCTGGGCAGACCCTCTAATGCGTGCACGCGCGCATACCCTCACACACATACCTTCTGTGATTGGGGAAGGGGAGAATGGAGACCCCTCTGCATGTGAGATAGTCTGGAAGGGTGGTTGAGGGCTGGTGCGGGGGCAGCTCCTGGCTGAGGTAGAGGAGGGGTCCTCACTCTCTCTTCCCTACCCTCTCTTGCCTCCTCAGGCTCTCCTAGAAGTGAAGAACATCGCCCACCAGAACAAGTTTGGGGTGGACATGCCCCACTCACACTAAATCCCAGGATGTGCTCTTCTTCTCCACCTTCTGAGGCCCTGGATGAAGAGCAGCCTCACTCCATCCCATCCTGAAGACTCTTTTCAACTCCCCAAGGGTGCTGATTTAAGCGTAAATACTTGTAAGATGATTGTGATGATCAGTTGTAAATCTCCCTCTGCCCACTACCTGTTTGAGGGATTCTATCTACTCTGCCCTGGAAGGAAAGCGGGGCAGCTCACTGGTCCCAGGAGGGGCTGATAACACTAAGCTGATGCTTCAGAGGGAGGGGGATCAACTGGCAGATATAGCAGAGTTGCATATGTAATAAAGTACAAGCTGTTACAAAACCCGGAGAGATCCTTTTAACCTTGAGTTGGTAAAGAACCCCACACCCCTGGCTGACAAATCTGATGAGTAATGAAGGAATGAGGGCATGGGCCTCTGGTCAACTCCCTGCCCACCCAGTGTCCAAAGAACTAACGGGAAATAGGGCAATCGGCTTGACTAGCTGTACCATAGATTAAATGGTGGAATCCCTAAGAAAATATGTGCCTGCCTCAGAAATAGCCTCACAGCCAGTTGCAGCTACACTCTGGGCAAAGCAAGAAAACTATCAGGAAGTGTCCTCACCAGGCCTGTCTCTCCATCTCTCCTTTTGCCCTAATTTGGGGGTGGAGAGTCTAGGTTTAACATACTTAGATTTGGTGGTCATGGGTAACTTCTTGGGGGGGAGGAGTTCCTACCATTGACCAGGGATGAGGAATTGGAGGATAGTTTCGGGGTTTTATTTCTCCCACATAATGAGAATTGCTTTGGCAACTCAGAACGGAGCCTGAGCTGAAGTTTCTTAGACTCTTCTTTGTGGCCATCTTATGACCCCAAGATAACCACCAGTAAAGAAGAAGGGGAAGGGGGCTGAGCCACCATTTCAGTCATACCCCTTTAAATAAGCATTCTGGATGCCCCACCCCAACAACCTCAGCATACATCTGATTGCTCAGAACTGTGTCACAGCGCTGCCATAGCTGCAAGGGAGTCTGGGAAATGTTTTGACACTATCCATTTCAAATCAGGTTCCTAAGACCCTGATAGGATAATCCCAGCCCGGCAACTCTTTCCCTCCAAAAACGGATACAATGCTCTTCCCCAAGCTACTTTCAGAAAGCCCGCCTGAGGCAGCCCAGGCTCTGTGGTCTCAAAGAGATCCTCAATACATGTCCCAAAGTCTGGCCACTCGGGGCACACTGAAAACAAGAGATCACATCCCAGATGGGGGCAAGGTCAGGGAGAGGTGCAGCAGGAGGCAGGGGTACATGAGGAGGTCCTGCAGCTGTACCCCCCCAAAACCGCCGCCTTTGCACACAGTTGGCTGTGGACCCCCGGCACTCACTCCCACCCCAGGCGGGGGCGTGTCCATGAAGGGGCCCTGGAGGCTACTGCGCATGCGATCTCCCTCTCCCCTCTGGCCCCCAACCTCCAACTCCCCGCCCCTGCCCCACAGGGGTGGGGTTGCAGCGTCTCATCTGTCAGTGCTGTCAGAGCTGCTGCGGTTCGGTTCCGAGAGCACCTGGAACGCAACCATCTTTCCCACGACTGAGGTGAGCCAGACCGCTAGGCCTCCAGCCCTGGCCCCGAGCAGGGAGGCCTCTGCACCTTCGGTTGTGGTGGCGCGAAGGACGTGGGCTTTGAGCAGGACCCTTCCCCCACTGCCTCCCATTCTCAGGGGCCAGGAGCCACCTCCAGCCCCTCGCTCAGCCGCCTTTGTGGAGACAGTCCTGGGTGCCGGTGTCCGCGCGGGGCGGGGAGCAGGCTGCGGTCCCGAGATGCAGGAATGGGGAAACTCCAGGCCCCTAGAACGTACTGGAGTGGGGCAGGCCAGAGTCAGGGGACAGTTTTAGGGTAAAACTTGCAGGTCCCCCACCCGTACCTCCCCGGCTGAGTCCAGGGAAAGATGACCTGGCACAGGTGTCAGCTTGTAGGGGCTCAACTTCGGGTGTGCCCCCCCACCGCTCGATACGAATCCACACGCTGCGAGCCAGGCGGCTCCGAGTGGTGGGGCCACAGGGTCTCGAAGACCCTATGGTGACACTCGTAGCTCTTGGCCCACTGCAGGTGGCTTGGTATCACCCGGGGAGGGCAAGACCCGTCTGCCATTAATCTCCGGTGGGGCCCTATGACCTCGGGCCGGTCACCGCCACCGCCAACTCGCTTATTTGAGGGTCGCTGTTCCCCCACTGACAAAGTGGCGGTGGTGTTGATGGCCCAACATCTCCAGGGTGACAGGAGGAGTCGCGTGGGCCGTCATGCGGGTCCCCTGGCGCCTGCCGAGCTCCCAGGAATTAATGCTGCTGCCCCTTATCGCTCCTGGTGCCATTTGCCAAGGGGGCAGAGCCGGTCTCACCGGTCCCCGGACTCATGCGAGGACACCCTCAGATTCCCAGTTGCCCGGACACAATCCTGAGAGTTATCGTTGACACCCCCCCGCCCCCGCCTTTTACTCATGAGCAAATCCTTTCCGTGAGTTCCACGTTCAGAACACAGAATCTGAACTCTGCGCTCAGTCTGTCCTTGCTGCTACATCTTCTCCCTCTTTCTGTCCCCCAAGCCTTCGGGGACCCCAGAGCTCTATCCTCAGTTTACCTCTCTTCATCATGCCCCCCCCCCCTGCTTTCTGAGCCAGCGTATCCAATAACTGTTTCCAGGGATACCCTGGGCCGAGGACCCTACAACTGGATCCCCATCTGGGACCTGCCCCGCCCCCCAACCCTGACCTTCAGAGCTCAAATTCAACAGAAACTGGCCACGGATACCTTGAGCCCACCCTCTGCCCCCAAACTGCCATCATCCCCGGGTTTCCAGAAAGACCCAAGGTAGCAGCCATTATGATGCATTTCCTGAGGCCACACACTGAACCAAGACAAGGATGTGTATTGAAAAAGTTTAATCATAATTTGCTATTAATAACTAACACTAATTGAGCACCTGCTGTGTGCCCACCCTCTCCTTAGCTGCATGATAATTTACTTGCTTATCTTGTTGACCATCTCCTCACTTCCAGAATCTAATCCTCCTAAGGCAGGGATTTTAGTCTATTTTGTTTGCTGCCACTTCCTCACCCCCACACCTCCCACCTTCCTTCCCCACACCCATCACAATGCCTGGCATGCCAGGAAGACTCTAGAAATAATGCATGAAAGTTAACTAATAATAAAAATGCCTAACATTAACCAATCCCCTCTGCATGTTTATCACCTATTGTTGAAATATATTTTGCTGATTTCCCTTTGTTGTTGCCTGTTCTCCTGACTAGAATGACAAGTTCCTGGCGGCCAGGGTTTGGTAACTGTTTTCCCCAGTTGTTTGTCCTTGCCACACAGTAGGTTCTCAATAGTTGTATGCTGAATAGGTAATAAAGGCTAAATTCTAATGTAAATGGCTAGCTGACCCCATAATTTGCTGATTTACTTGGGTATTGTCTCCGCCTTTTAGAATACGAACTCCCTGGGGGCAGGAATGTTGCTCAGCATATCATATGCGACGGGCACTGTGTGGGGCTTGGGGATCAACAGTGATACAAAACCAAATAGAAACTGCCCCAAATCCCTGCCCTCCCTCCTCCGGATCCGGGAGCGACTGCTAATGGGCGGGAGATATCTTTTCCGGGTGATGAAAATATTCTAAAAGTAGATTATGGTGATGGTGGGGGCGCCTGGCTGGCTCAGTCAGTGGCGCATGCGACTCTGGACCTCAGGGTTGTAGGTTCGATTCCCGCACTGGGTGTAGAGATTGCTTAAAAATAGTCTTAAAAAAGAAACAAAGATTGTGGTGATGGTTGTAGAACAGTGTGAATATACTAAAACAGTGAATTGTGCACTTTAACTAGATTAGCTTTATGGTATATAAATTAAATGTAAATAAACCTGTTTTTAAAATCACTGCCTTCACAAAGAGGGAATGAGACAAAGCAATTAAGCGACATAATGTATATAGCATATTAGAGGATGATTCACACACATCTAGACACTTAGGAAAAGTGATGCTATGCCACCTAGCTGTCCCCTTGCCCCCAAATGGTCTTGCCTAACCTACCCCTGCCCCCATTGTCTTTTCTTCTCTTTCCCTCCTAGGGTCTGGTGTTCACATCCCTTCCCTGAGCTGCCCACGGGGGGAATGGCACTGCCAAGAAAGCCTAACATGTTTGATCTGGGCCTGGGCACGTGGAGCCTTAGCTCCCAGGAGGAGAGCCAGAGGGCGCAGGGACCCCCCAACAGTGTCCGCAAGAAGCTGCCTGAGTACAAGGCGGTAGTGGTTGGTGCAAGTGGCGTGGGCAAGAGTGCGCTCACCATCCAGCTGAACCACCAGTGCTTTGTGGAAGACCACGACCCCACGATCCAGGATTCCTACTGGAAGGAGGTGGCCCTGGGTCATGGGGGCTGCATTCTGAATGTCCTGGACACGGCAGGACAGGCCACCCATAGGGCCCTGCGTGACCAGTGTGTGGCCATCGGGGATGGTGTGCTGGGGGTCTTCGCCCTGGATGACCCCTCGTCTTTAGCCCAGCTGCAGCAGATGCGGGCCACCTGGGGCCCTCACCACACCCAGCCCCTCGTCCTTGTGGGCAACAAGTGTGACCTTGTGACCGCCACCGGAGATGCTCATGCCGCTGCTGCGGCCCTTGCGAAGAGCTGGGGGGCCCCCTTCGTGGAGACCTCAGCCAAGACGCGGCAAGGGGTGGAGGAGGCCTTCACCCTTCTCATCCAGGAGATCCAAAAAGTCCGGGAGGCCATGGCAAAGGAGGCCGTGGCTGGGCCAGGTGGGGAGAAGGGCCGGCACGAGAAGACCATGTGCCGCTGCGGCTGTTCCGTGGCCTAAAGATTTTGGTCAAGAAAAGCAGCCCTCCCCCAGGCCAGGGTGGTGGTTCCTAGACAGGTGACCCGGGAGCAGGCAGCTGTGTGGGGACACTATTGGTGTACTGGAGTGAGATGACTTCCTATCTCGGGGAGGTTTTTGTTTGGTGATGGGCATCCGGTAATGTAGGGCATAGTACTGCTTACTGTTGAGCTAAGAGATTTTGTGCAAGAATAAATGGTGTTCTCAGCTTTCAAAGCTGACTCTGTGCCAAGTGTTCTGTGGGTGGGAGTGAAACTGGGGAGACTGTTACTTGAATTGTGAAATTCCTTTCATTCAAGAAATGGTGGCATGGGGAGGGGGTGGAGCCCACTGCGTGCCAGGCCCTGCTTTGGGTGCAAAGGATAGAGAGGCGAACAAGACACTTAAAAATCCCTGCCCTCCTAGATCTAACAGAAGGCAGATGTAGGAAGAAAGAGTGATGGGGGAAGTCAAGGAAAGCCTTGCTGTGGAGGTTTTGAGCAAACATTTGCAGGTACCCTGGGCCAGAGGGAATAGCCAGTACAAAGGCCAGGAGCATAAAACCGCTACCACCACGCCAACTCCCAATAGCTGCACGGCTGGGTAAGCGCACAGAGGGAGCCTCTATACTGTAGAACTCTGTCTCCACATTACCAATCAATCTAACTCAAAATGCATCCTAGCTTTCTGCCCTGACAAAGACCCTTCCTTAATGACCTGGGGACCCAGGTTCTACTTTCTCAGAGTCCAGGCCAGACCAGGACGTGACCATAGGGAAGGCCTGCAATCCGCTCCCTCTCTTCCCACAGGGAGGTACCCCCCCACCCCTGCACAGCCCAAACACTACTCCCGCCTCACAGCCACCCCTTGGTCCTCAGAAGGATGGACCCTAGAAAGATGCTACTTACAGAGGGCCCTTGAAACTGTCCTCAAAGCCTTCCGGAGTGGGGCATGGGATCTGGGTGGTTACTACCATTGTCTTTATGGATGCCTCCTCCAGCGAGAAGGGGCTTAGAGTGGGGGAGGGGGATCTCTACCGCCCCAGGGCTGGGCCCCCTCTGCCTTTGTCTGAGGGCAGCCATCATCAGCCCACCAACCCCCTACAAACTGCCCTCAGACAAGCCAACAGCTGCTTCAGATCACATTTATTGTGGGGGCAAGGGCGGGGATCTTGGGGTTCGAGGGCAGCAACCGCGGCTGACGGGATAAGCCGCTCTCAGTGTGCCGACAGAGAGCAGGTGGGGTGTTGGGGTGGGGTGCTCCTGGGCCAGAGGGCGCGCAGGATTCAGGCGGTGCTCAGGCGGGTAGGAGGCGGCGCACTGGCGCCTGGGGCGAAGGGTTCTCCAGGCGCTTCACCCGCAGCAGGGCCCCCAGCACACCCTCAGGGGGCACTTCCCGGCTCAGATCCTGGTCCGCGGCGCGGCGGAGGCGGCGCGGGGCAGCCACAGCCTCGGGGTCCGCGCTCCCCGCCAGGATCCGCCCCAACAAGTACCTGCAGGAGAGCCGAGTGAAAGGCGGTGAGAATGTGCCCGTGCCTCAACATGGCGGGCCTAGGTCCCAGATGACCCTGCAACCCCATACTACCTGCAGACCTGCCCGTCTCCAGCCTCCTCCCCAGCCCACTGCCTTTCAGTTGTCCCTGCCTCCCAACCCCCTTCACCCCCCCCCCCCGAAACCAGACATCGGAGCCCCCTCCCCGGGACTGAGAGTCCTGTTCCCCCACTATCTCCCCAGCCAGGCATCTCTGACCCTACACCCTGGGTCCAGCTCCTCACTCCCTCTGTGAGGGTCCCAGGGCCTAGGTGTCTCACCACACTGTGAGACGGGGCCCAGCCGTCCCCCCTCGCCCTGCTTCCCCGCCAGGATGCAGACGCCGCCCCCTGCTGGGCAACCTCAGCAGCTCCGGGTCCACATCTGGCGTCTCGTCGCCGGCGTCCTCTGCATCGGGGCCCGTGGGGCCGTCGTCGTAGACTGGGGGCCGGGGTCTGAGCGCAGCGGCAGGGGCAGGGGCGGGGACGAGCTGGGCCGCGAGGGCTGCAGGGTCCAGGCGCGCACGGAGCAGGGCGCGGGCTAGCTGCGCGGCGGGAGCGTCGGGGTCGTCCTCCAGGCCCAGCGCGGGGTCGTTAGTGCGGGGTGCGCTCCAGGCGCGCAGCAGCTGCGCCAGGACGCGCGCCTGCTGATCCTCTGCCTCCTGCGCCTCGGCCCGCGCCCGCTCCTGCCTTTCTGCCTCCAGCAGGTGCGCCAGCGCCCGCGCCAGCTCCTGCATAGCCCCCGCCGCTTCGCCGCGGGGCACTGCTCGCCGGAAGCGGCGGGGAGCGCCAGCCTCGGCCATGGGCGACGAGGCTGCGCCCAGGCCACGGGGTTCCTGCCAGAAGACGAGAGGGGGGCGAGATATCAGCGTCCATCAGCCCAGGGCCCCCCACCCAGGGGAGCTCCGTGGACCTCGAAAATCCCCAGATGCCACCAAAGGCACCGTGGCCCCGCAAATATACCCAGACACCCCTAAAGCCACTGGAGACCCCCAAATATCCCCAGACAAAAGACCCCCATAGATCCTCAACCCCACGATTTCCTAGTGATTCAGAATTTGCCCCAGGGCTGCTGGAGAACAGGTGTTGTTGTTATTGTTGTTGTTAACAGGAGTGGTGATGTCAGACATGACAGCCGTAGATTTTTCTATATCGATGTTATGTACTATAAGAACCATATCTGCATTTTATAGGTACCTATTTATTGTTCACTTGCGTTACCTAAAACGTAGCAGACTGCTCTGCACCTTGCACTTTGGAATCTATATCTAGATCACTACCTTTAAGTGCATCTTTTCCCTATCCCTTTTCTTTCTCTTCATTCCCTCCCTTCCCCCCCTTCCTCCCTCTTCCTCTCTCCTTCCCTCTCCTTTTCTCCCTCTCCTCTCTCCCCTTACACTCTCTTCTTTTCTTTCCACTGCACTGAATCCCTTTCGTGTGGATGGGCATATTTTATTTAACTAGTCTTCAACTAATGGACATTTACGGTGTTTCCAATCTTTTGCTATTCCTTTTTTTTTAAACATTTTATTTTTTAAGTAATCTACACCAAAGTGGGGCTTGAACTCAACTCCATCAAGAGCCTCATGGTCCACCGCCTGAGCCAGCCAGATGCCCTCAATCTTTTGCTGTCCTTATCATGTTGGGATGAATAACCTTGTTCACGTATTATTTGGCTTGTGTGTACATCTTTCTTTAGGATAAATTACCCAGTGACTAATTTTCAATTCGGACAGTTATAAAACAATTTCAAAAAGTTTAAAGAAATTTTTAAAAAGGTATCAAAAGGGTGAGTAAGGGGGAAAAAAAGACCATAAAAATGACCATGAAGAGTTGAAAAAGAAACACATTGAACATCTAGAAATATGTTTTGTTTTTTGTTTGTGTTTTTATTTAAGTAATCTCTACAGCCAACAGGGGGCTCGAACGAATTTACAATCAAGAGTATCAAGAGATCAAGAGTCGCTCGCTCTGCTGACTGGCAAGCCAGGCGCCCCTTGACTGTTTAATTTTTTATTTCATTTAAAACGTATTTCTAGGGCCGTATTTTGTCTAGCTCAGTCAAAAGAACGTGCAACTCTTGATCTCAGGGTTGTAAGTTCGAGCCCCACGTTGGCTATAGAGATTACTTAAAAATGAAATCTTTAAAAAAATTAAAACAGGCCAATTAAACAGCAGATTCAATAGAGCAGAAGGAAGTAATAAGATTGAACAGAGCTTAAGAACAGATCCACAGATCTTGACACGTGCTACACAATAGAAGGGACACTCAGAGCAGACAGCGTCCACTCCTTCAAAAACTCATGCAGGGACAACAAATGATCCCAACGTGGGAGCAATGGAAAGCAAAAGACGAATATGTTTGACTCCATTCAAATTAAGGATTTGTTATCCCAAGACACCATAAAAAGAGTGAATTGGAGAAGATGCCTGCAACCAAATAGTTAATAAACGATTGGCATCCGATCCACAAAGAAGCCTAAAAAACCAAGAGGCAAACAAACTAAGCCTAGGAAAAGCTGATGATCAAGTATTTCACAAAAAAGGATACTCAAACAGTGACTAAATATATGAGAAGTAGGGCACCTCATTAGTAATCAGGAAAATGCAAATTAAAATGCCAATGAGCTACTATGCACAGTGCGTCCAAAAAGATTGCCAAAGATCAAACCGTCTAATAATGTCCAGTGTTGGCATGGCTGTGGAAAAAATGGAAACTCTCATACACTGCTGGTGGGAATTCAATTGCCAAATTGACTTTGAAAAAACAACCTGGCAATGTCTAAAAAGATGCACAAATCCTGTGACCCACTCCTGGGATGGTACGCTGTTTGAAATAGCATAAAAATGGAGAGAGCAGGGGAAAAGCCTGGAAATAACCCACATGTCTACTGACTTATTGAGAATGAATTTATAAAACCATGATGTACTCATACTGGTAATATACTCAGAAAATAAAAATAAAATATGATGCAGCGACTGACTTTTGTAAATGAATTATAGCCACGCACTTCAATGTGAAAATGTGGATGGTGGATGTATCTCTCACAACCGATGCAGAGCCAAAAAAAAAAAAAAAAGCAAAAACAAAAACAACAAAAAAGGTTGGAATTCAACTGCAGGTGGCCTAAGACATCCTGATGACTTCCTAGTGACCCCTAGTGACGACCAGGAGCCAGATGCCTGGCATGATTCCATTTCTATGAGAAAAGGCTAAAACAACATATTGTTTAGACATACAACACTTATGTGAGGATTCCTTACAAAAGTAAGAAACCAATGAACAGAAAATACAGGATAATGTTTGTGGAGGGGAGGGTTACTGTACCCAGGGGCTTCTAACTACTGATCATGCTGTATTTCGTAAACTCAGCGGTGGGGACACATGGGGATTATTTTATCATTATTCCTTACATCATACATGTGTGTTAACTATATTATGCCATATATATAATATTTAATAATTTTTATATC